CCCATAAACAGAAGGAGGATAATCCCGATAGGAAGGCATTAGACAAAGGACTCAGAAGATGGGGGTTCTGTTCCAGCTCTCCTGCAGATTTGTTACATAGATCCAAATATTCCAACATATTTAGGTGCTTAACTCCCATTGATTTCAATGGCAACCAGGTGCCAACTTCTGTTACTCTTGGTTTTCCATTTCTAAAAAGATAAAATAAATCAAACTTGTCTATTTCTGTACTATAATTTAATTGATGTGCAGTGCTATATCCTCAAAGGCACGTAACTGTTCCTTTGCTCAACTTGGGCATTATAGTGCTTAACTTTCAGGCACTCCAATACCTAGTAAATCATCTACTCCAGTTTAGATGCCTAGGCTTTCCTTACAGTGCATGGAGGGATTTAGGGACTGTCAACAACCGAGACACCCGTCTCTCTGCCTGATACTCAGCTGTGAATGCTCTCCTAGGGTACGTCGAGACGAGCACGCACATACAGGAATGTGCATTTCTTGTGGCACAAATAGCAGTAGCACATATTTGTGCTGCTACCTTTTGCCCCAGGGCACGCCCTTGCACACATGCTCCAGCACCGGGCAAATTGTCCTGGGTGGGGTAGGGAAGGCTGGGTCCAGCACTTGTGCTCGTCCCAACAGCCTTACCTGGAGTGCTGTGGGGCCTCTGGGGGCATCAGCAGTGCTGATCTGGGCCCACAGAGCCTAGCTGGCAGCCCAAGCGTGGCTCTGGACTGCCAGGCTCTATTTCTGGTGGCACACACTACTGCCGGGATCTCCCGGTGTCAAATGTTTTTGCCACGCTGCAAATGAGCAGTGTGGTGAATGGTTGCACGTCCCACATGCATTTTGTGGCACTTCAAAGACCTTTGAGACACTGCAAACCGCATGTGTGCACTCATCTGGATGTGCCCCTATAGTCAGGCACCTATGCTAGATTAGCTTTCTTTAGTAGATGACCAGGCCCCTGGGGCTCCTATTTACCAAATAATTGGTTATCTTAAGTGTGGGAAACCCAGGTTCATACTCCTGCTTTGTCTGATTTGGAATAAGGACTTGAACCCACATCTCAGGTTAGCACACAGACACCACGCTAGGTAGATGTCTCTGAACTTTTCCTGTTGGAGCTTTAAAAAAATTATATAAAAAAATAATTATTGAGCCAGCAGTAACAACACCAACTATAGCACAATGCTGAGGGTTCTCAAGTGGGCTGTGGGATACTGAAGTTCAAAGTGTTTGTTCCAATAAAATATTTAAATATTTGTAGAGTGAGATGCCATGAGAGATTTATACAGACCCACCTCACTGTTCCAGTGATAGAGCACTCTCAGACCAACATTCAAATCCCTGATACAAATGAAGAACATGATCCAAATTTCCCACAGCTATGTAAGTGCCTTAACTACCAGAGTACACCCACAGCTGAGGGATGTTGTGCTACCTCTATACTGATTGGTTACCTTCATCTTTTAGGTTTGATCTGAGCACACTTACAAATTGAACACAGCTGATGAGACAGATGACCCCTTGCCTAATTTGAGATTCATACTTCAGGGCTTTAGTTTGAACTAGGTGGCCAAAGCTCTGAATTAAGGCTTGAGGTATGTGGGTGGCTTAGTTGTGGGTAGGTGTCATTCCTTCAGTGTTCCTTTTATATGCTGATAGGAGAAAAATTAGGATTAAGTCTATACTACAGACATCAGGATAATGTATGAATACCTGATCAGGTCAGTATAATGTACTCATGTACTGGAAATTGTTCAGCTTTGGCACGTGGAGCTCCATGCTCCCACAGCTAGACTGCTTCTGGTTCCAGAAAAATTAAAAGCAGATCAAGAACCTCTAATCTGTACCGCAGTTTATATGCAGACATGTAGATATATTCTTAGTTGGCAGCTGAAGGCTGTATTTTGAGAATATCAGTGGCACTGCTGTAGAAGATTCCTACATATACACCTTTAGGATGTACATATCCTCGTTGTGTGTTCAAACAGCACCTGGCACAAAGGATCCCTGATCTCAGTTGGGGCTTTTCAGAAGCTATTTTATTTAAAATTTAACATTTTTGACAGCTATGCTTGTCTTTGTAACAGGCACAATGAGAAGGCCACACCAAAGAGCTTACATTGTTTCTCCTGAAATAGTGTAATCAGCAATATGGTAAGGTATACCATGAAATATTTATTTTAGAATCTAAAATAATATTTTCAAATTAGGTCAGGTCTTAAAGCTGGCATCAAACTCAGAGCTAGGCATCAAACGTTGGTGCGCTTGAAAGGTACTGAATTAACATTCAGCCCTGCACATTCAACACTAGAGTAAGCAGGGCTCTGCAAGGCACAGGGTTCCCCTTTCCTAGAGCACATTTTAGGACTGGAGCCCTCTCACAGAACACATTAAAGAAATGTTTTCTATCATTACAGGAGTGCTCTTCAGTGGTGCTGCATCTGTTCCCCTAGGTATTACTGAGGCCACTGCTCTTTTGAGACGGATCTTAAAAACACAATTAAATAGCACTGACTTGAGAAATCACAGAATTTGGTGATAAAGAAATGGTTTGATCCTTCATTCTTTACCTAAGGGTTAATCTTACTCCCACTTAAATGAATAATAAACGCTTTCCCAGTGACATCACTAGGATCAAGACTGAGCCCTCTGTTTCAAGTCGGTGCGAGTTTCAACCAACCAAGGATGCAAAGGTTTGTTCTATCAGGGCTTGACTCTTCACTCCATCTGCTACTGTGTTTTGCATATAGTTGTGCTACTGTAAAGGTGGGATGAAGGGAAGGAAAATTAAGTCTGTGATGCAAGATCTGCATTCCCTACGTCTGTATTCTAATACCTTGAGCTGGCTCATTCAAATTTCCCAAGGAGGCATTTTCTCTAGAAACACTTTTTAAGAGAGAGAAAAGGGACGGAAAAAACCTCCAAGAAAAATTGGCGATAGAAAACAAAGTGAAAAGCAGAAGGGGAAGAAAAAACAAACTAAAAAATGAGGCTTGGATTTCTGAGCAACAAACTAGAATTAGGATGGGAAAAAATGTAGTGCACAATCTTTAAAGCAAACAAGAGAGACCATTTATCATTTGACACCTACATGCACTAACAAGCCATGCTTCTGTCACAATTACTATATTATGCCCCTAGAACAATGCAGACCTTTTAATGTAGGAGTAGTTCAATCAATTTAGAATACAAATCAGAATAAAATGGTGCCACCCATGTCCAGCTACTACAGAGAACCAAATGAAGAGTTGGAAATAGCCTGCTTTTTTTAGTTACAGATTAAACCTTAGACAATCAAGTCCCACTGCATGAAGCCAGAGATATTTACTGTCCTTATCAAGGGATACAGTTTCAAAGAGATGAATGGGATTTTAGCCATGAAGTTTCTATTGATTTGCAAATCCCTCCCCCTTTGTCTTTTCTCATCAAGAATCTGTTGATGATTTCTTTCAAAGAAATTGCTGGAAGAATGAGCATATGTGTATTGTGACTCTCACTGAGGAAAGAACTGGATGGGATACAAAGCCTTTCATCTCTAGCAAACAGTAGTTCCTGATGCCATGTGGATGCTCTTATTGCAGGCTGTAAAGTTGAAGGAAAAATTAATGCTCCTTTATCTCCCCCAGTGAATAGTGGCTCTGTGTGGCCCTAATGGAGCATCATGCTTGCATTTCATAAATGCAGCTATTAAAGCTTCCAGGTGATTTTTTGGCCAAATAAAGCAAAAACAAGCACTTTCTTGTATCGTCATGTGGCTCCTGTGATCACTTTTCCAGGTATTTGGTGTATATGTCACACCTTACCAAAATTGGAGGGGTAGCAAACAGAACCAAGTTCTGGCTGCAAATTCATAGCTAACACAGGGCAGAGGGAAGATTTGTTTCCTATAGCAGATTTTTTTAGCAACGGGAAGAAGTAGCATAAAAAAGCAGCAGGGCTTAGGGTAGATAAGTAGTTGTAACCATTTTGTTGAGGGAGTTTATTTTCAACTTTCCTGAAATTCATTTTATGTAACCGAGCATTTTAGGTTCCACAGGAGGTGTACAGAAATGGGACTGGAAAGGGAAAAAGTCCACAAAACAGCTTCTACCTATAGGAGCTGATAAGCACATTGCCACAGTTTGAGAACTTAGGTTCAGATTCAGCAAGGAATTTAAGCCTGTGCCTAACAATAGTTATAGCAGAACTATTCACATGCTTAAATTTTGAAGGCCTAATGCAATAAAGATTGCCTGATTCAAAATCAGAGAGAAACAAGGAGTCAAGTGCATAGCTCTTCAGACTAATAACCTTTCTTTTGTTTTTGCTATATAACTAAATACTGAGAATAATGAGAGGAACAGGTACGTAGATAGAAGTAGACTGGATCAGTTATAGCTACTTTTAATTTCAAAACACACGCTGAGCATATGCTGATTTTGTTACCTGTGAATGAACCTCTTATTTAAACCAGTCTCATAGCTTATGTTGACATTGAAGTCTGCTATGTAGCAGATACATCCAAGCCAGTCTAAATAAGCAGCCTAGCCATCACAGACAAGAAGCAAGGTAAGTTAGTTTGCACAGAACTCCTCATTGTCCTGACTAGGTTACTTCTAGAACCCAGGCTAGCTTGGGTGTCTCTACACTATACTCAGTGTCTAGAGCAGATGATCCCCAAATTATATCTGTGCAGAGTAAGAGGTAGTCAGCAAAACAACACAGTTCTTAAAAAAATGATGCGAGGATCATGGTCTCTGTGAAGGATGCATACTGAATGCTTATGACTTGTTTCCATAATTCTCGTTTTTAACATTCATGGTGCATCTCAGAATGTGGGCCTGATCCACACAGCACAGTTAAATCAGTGAGAATCTTTCTACAGACATCAAAGCACTTTGAGTCAAGCCCTCTGGGTCTGAAAGTGCACGTACCAGGAAAACAAAGTAAAAAGGAATTCACTTTCCACATATTACGCTCCCTCACATTTATTGTCACCAAACCTGTGGCAAAACAGCGCCCTTACTGTGCAGTGGCACTCTCACTGACACCAACAGGAATTACACTCAGAGACCCAAGATATGACCTTACTGTTAAAAAAAAGTAAAGAGGAAACTCAACTACTGAAGTCACACATATAATTCAATGTGAAAACAAAGCTTGCTTCTCAAAAAGAACAAAGTAACTTAAACACTGTATATCTACAGATGGGAAAAGGAAATTAAATGTAGCATATTGAACCCTCCTTATACACATTTAAAAACTATTTGCATAAAGCAAATACCATTATAACGATCTCCTTTACACATGCTAATTTCTATTGCCAAGTGTTAATACGAGAATGATAAATTAAATATGATCAATTTAAAGTATTCGATATGAAGCAAAGATTTTTTTTGTCTTTAATAAAGAAATTTATTATTTTTTATGGATATCCTTGTTAAATGTGGGTTGACACTGAAGGTAAAGAATAAAATCTTATTTATTTTTATGCTACTTTGTAAATTTTCCAAACTCCAAATCATCTCACAATGGTGTACAGTAAATGGGATTAAACTAACTTCAAATACTCTCCACCACATCTTTTACATTAAACATTTTGCAAAAACCCACAAATGCATCTATGCAATCAAGTTACAGTGATTATCAAATAAACTAGCAAGAAATTAAATCAGATGGAGTGACATGGTTTCTTCATCCCCACACAGAAAAAGACTAGCACCAGACCAATTTAATGCTTTTAAAAACACACACCGGCTCTTTTTCTCTTATTTTGAGAACTAAAACAGAAATCATTTTCCAAAGCACAACTGTTAATATGGGAATTGGCTTGCACAGCAGTTTTTACCATCAAGATTTTTTCTTGTATTTTATTCCAACAAGGAAAATACAGTTAAAAATAAAATAAAGAAAAATACTAAAAATAAAGCCATAAAGTTAGTTAGCAGTGAGTCCCAACAGAAGCAAAGGTTGACATTTCTCTGCGGATGGTACTAAAAGGGGATAGTTCAAGTTCTGTGGTGTACTCATTGTCATTGTCATCACTCGTCACCGTTGAAGACTTCTGGATGCATTCTTCACAGCAACAACAACAACACTCCATAAAGGCCCGGCTGAAGGGTTTGCAAAGACAGAAGAGGAGGACTGGGGTAACACATGACTTAAAGAACAAAAGAAATTGACTGATGAGATGGAGGAGATCCATAGTCTGCTGAGAGACCCCTGTGGACATGTAGGCAGTCACAATGTTGCAGATATTTTCAGGAATGATGCAAAACCCATATAAAATGGTCAAAGCCACCACGGTGCAGTTCATCTGACTTTCCAGTTGAATCTGTCGCTTGTTGCCTCTTGTACATGCCTTCTCTGCTCTTCTGATTTTTCTTGCTGTTACTAGGGAGCAGGTAATAGTGAAGAGGGTAGGTAAGCAAAAGTAACAGCCAAAATACCACCAGAGTCTTGCACCATCATATGTGAGAGCTAATACATAAATGGTATCAGGTAATTCAGTGGAAATCTTTACCACGCATCGCTCCCCTGGCAGACTGCCACTAAATTCAGGGTCTTCCTTTGTCAACTGACGTAGCACTACCTCCGGAAGTGCCAAAAGCAAAGCACCAACCCATATAACAGCTAGTTTGGCAGTAGTTGATGTGCAGTTTTCAATCATCTCATAGTACATCTGTACATTAGTGGCAGCCCGAAATCGGTCTATACATAGGGCACACAGTGTGAATGTAGTGACTCCCAGAGAGGCTACCTGTGAGGCAGAAAAGGGGACACATTTTAATATTGCTACTGTCCAAAGAATATAAAAATATAATGCAATGTGGATTATAAACTGCTTAAATGACTATCTGGGACAGAGCACCAACAAAGTACACTTAATTTATTAATTACACCTGTTTATATTTTTGTCCATTTAAAACTTCTTTCTTCATCATATATCAGGTAAAGTTAAATTCAATATAATTAGTTTCCAAATTACTGCTGATGAAAAATACCAAGACTATTAAAATGTGAAAAAAATATTCAATGTATATTTTCCTTTAAAAGCATTCCTTCCTTGTTGACTGTTCAGAAAAAGGCCAGATCTGCATCTAAATATGTCTGGCAAAGATGAAGATGCACCTAGTTGAAATTTTGAAAAATATTAGCTACCACTAATCTGAAGTGAGTAGTGCTTTAGGTACCTCCATTGCTGGGTACCCAGTTTAAGATATCCTAACCAGCTTGATGTAAGAGGCCAGATGCTCAGTTCTGGCAGCCCAAAACACAGGCACCCTCTCTCTCACCACTGGCCAATTATATACATACTTTAAAACTGAATTGGATAAAGTTCCAAAAACACACTGCAAGAGACAAATGCTAAGTAATGGACATCTTTCCTAGCTTAAAAACTGCAAACAGGAATCTGATACTAAAAGATCACAAAAGATCATTTTGTTTCATTTTACCCTTCAATATCCTACAAACAAATTTGCAAAATAACAGACTTTAAGTACATTTTACTGAATTCAGTTTCTAATAAAGTCATATTCAAAAACAGAACTTGTATTTACTTCAAGGTCAAATCAAGACTAGACCCTTGATTTTTGCTTTCCTGCACTCTAATTCATTTGTTCTTATGGTTTTGTAACCTGTTGTTGTATCTAATCTGTACTGGTGCAAAAGAGCAATGAAATTACAATAACAGGAATTGTTAAACTATATTTCCCAATCATTTATAAAAATGTATACTTGTTAGAATGAATTAGCCACATGTTCACATAATTATTGGTGAAATTTATGGAAATATTGGGCAACTGACTGTAATTTTTGCTTACTGGATACAACGTGGAATGCTATATTTAAGATTATATAATGGGGCATTTCAAAATGTATGCTGATTTCTATCACAATTTTGAAATATTCTTGTTTATGTACACCTCAAAAACAGTTCGTAAAGATAGATTGTGCAATTAAAAGCAATTATATAAATGTATCATTCATGTTGACCTTCAGTATTTAATGACCATCTCTGACTGCTAAAATTCAATATCAGTGCAAACTATTAGACACTGAGGATTAAAACTGTAAGGCATTGGCTTAGTTGGGTAATTCTTTGAAGCAGCTTCCTGAGAGATGGAATGAGTAAGATGCAATCTCTTATTAATTAACCTGCAACTGGAGGAATAGTGAAAGATGACAAAGCAGCACTTTAAACATTTTTAATAAGCAAACCTATTAATTTAGAGTGTTAAACTATCTGATAAGGCTCAGTATAAAGCTTGGGAAACACCAGCAAAAAAATAAAAATGACTGAAGAAAAACAAGAGTTGCAGGAAAACCTTTAGTAAGCACTCAAAGGAAACAATGACAAAATGAACTAATAAAAAGTTTTATATATCAGGGCTGAGAAGAGTCCAATCAGCAAATTTAAGACTTGGGATTTTTGTCCCTGAAACACGTGATAAATGTGAGCATGTGCATATTCTACAGGTTCCCTAAAGGGGCTCCAACAACTCTAGCCAGATCTTCAAACATGAATACCAAAAATGTCAATACCCAGCTCTGGCCAAACTCTTTAGGTAGATGGAGAAAGGAAAATTTCTGAGACTTAAAATTAAATTAATGGAACTTGAACATCATTACAAGGGAAAAGAGAATGCAGTTTTTAAGTAAAATGTATTGTCCCCACCCCCAACATGGTTTAAAAACCCCTCCTGTGATTGTCTCTGAGTTGCATTACTACACTGCACCGTGGCTAGGACACTGGAGACTCAGCAGCTGTTAAAGGTGACTAATGAAAGAAGGCATATCTACAGTGAGCAAACATAACCTACGGGGTTCCTGTCACATTAACTGACCAGTGACTTAGAGGTTGAAGACAGTGAAACATGGCAAGAGGAAACTAGGAATAGCGGAAGTCAGCTTTGAAAATTCTACTGTTCATTTATTAATGAAACTTGGCTAAATAAAGCTATTGTTTGTCTGGAACATGCAATGGGTTTCCTGGTTTTTAGACACTAGTAAACTTTATGATTCTATGGAAAAGAATGATAAAAAAAGAAATGTGGAACACTCCAGTATAAACCCTGACTAGTTTCTACAGGATAAATATGAACTGAAATTCACTTCAACTACCTTCTCCAGTGCCTTAAAGCAATTCAGGGGTCTGATTCCTCCCCAAACACCATAAGATATGAGTAATTTGACTTAAGTAAATGAGCGTTACTCATAGCCTGTGTGGGTGAGAGCTAGGCTCGAGGACATTCCAACTACTTTTCTATAAACTATTTCAGCACTAATGTGTTTCTTTCTATTAATAAACTGCATATTAAACTTCACAAGTGTTACAGTAATACTAAGGATTTAAGTTAAATTGAAAAAACTCCACATTTCCTTGGTTATGATCAGTGCTCTATCTTTAACCTCCTGGGATGTGCCTAGATAGTTGAAGAATACAGAAAACACACTATAAATGGATCTAATTGCTGAATCACAAAAGGGCATGTCAGTGAAAAGCAGCCAATCTTTAAATGGGATAAGTCACTGTAGCAGAGGCCTAATTCAGTAATTTTTTTTTTCCAGTGAGTTCCACCAGCGTAAAATACAGCACAATAGTGAATCAGGCCTGTTATGTCTTTAGCTTTATAGGATTATATATTTTAAGTAGCAAAAAACTTTTGTTAGTTTTCCAGGCAAGCCTCTTACGGCCCAGAGTTCTTGTTTCTTGCCTTCTTGGATACTCATGAAACAAGAAGTGATGTCTTAGCTTTTTTTTACAAGAACTGAGAATCCAACATAAACAAATGGCTGAAAATAAGAGGCCTAATCTGATAGTAGGGAAGATAAGCTACACCTTGAGCAAAACTGCCATGGGAATCTTTCAAAGAATATTTTTTTACTGCTTTTGCTTCCGTAAAAATATTGAAAGGATGGTGTATATATTCCTAACTTACATTAAGGCAGTATTTTATTGAGCACTATGGCAGTCCTTCATATACTACACAATCCTTGGATTGCTTACTGGCCCTTAGATCACTGTCAAACCAACTGAAGAACTGAGGCCTTGGTTGTGGCACTAAATTCATCAAAACATTCACTGGAGGAGCAAGCCAGTTTATTTGCACCCATTCTCTTCCTTTCTGCTCTGCCCTTCCAGTCTCCTTTCATTCGGTTAAACAAGTAACCAAATCTTTTACAGCTTTGAGCAGTCTGTCCTACTTCTACTCCTGGCCACTCTCCCACAACACTCAGTCCTTGCCTTGGGAAAAAGCCTCCAGGTGATCATGGACGCAATGCAGATTAAATGGACTGGGGAAAACTAGCAGAAATAAGATTTTCAAGGACAGAATTAAAGCAGACTGCTAAATATATCATCAGGGGCTTGTATAACTGAAGGGTGGTTGAGGTGGAAGCCCCGAAGATGTATAGACGAGGTTCAGAGAAGAACAACTAGGGTGTACAGGGAATGAAGAACGTAATCTCATGAGAGGAGACTAAAAGATCTTGGTTTATTCAATCTAGCAAGAAGGCGGCTGAGAGGTGATATTATTACTGTCTATAAACATAAGTGGATAAACACTGGGGACTGGGTTGCCAACCCTCCAGGATTGCCCTGGAGTCTCCAGGAATTAGATATAAATCTCCAGGAGACTGCTGAGAGTCACCTGGGAGATAAATGATAGGGCATTCATTAAAATAAATATTAAATGTTGAATCCAATTTATACAGTAGTCCAGTGTGTTTTTAAAATGTAATAGTAATGTGCATTTGCCTTCCTGATATAAAGTCTACACATCCTAATCCATAACGAATATATGCAAGCACATGGACACATTTGTGTTGTGTGTTGCGGGCATGTTGGCGCTCCAGAAACCTCCCAGAATAGATTCAAGCAGAGCTGCAGAGACAAAAGAACTCATTTAAGTTAAAGAACAATGTTGGCACAAAAACAAAAGGGTATAAACTGGCCATGAGAAAACTGACTAGAAATGTGATGGTAGCCTTTACAACTCAGAGGAACAAGATTTGGGGACAGCACCTCAAAAAAACTAAACTAGCTTGGAGATGGAGCTTGATCAGTTTACAAAAAGGATCACAGCACGCACAGTGTATATTGGATAAGTGCATACATAATTCATTTAACTGCATAACACACTGCCAGCCCCAACTGCTGCAACAATTGAAACAACCTCCAGTTATCTAAACACCTGTTGTGACATAAGGTCATTAAAAAACAAGCCTGAAGACCACTGGATGAAGAGATTTTGAGCCAAGAATGACAATCTATTAGCCCATCTCTATCTGTTCCTGTTATACCCATAAAAAGATTATAAAGATTTTTTTCCTGAGACCCTAGTCTATTATCTTATTACAACTGTTGTGTATCTACACTAACTGCATAATCTCAACACATTGTTAATGCAGCGCACAGTGGTGGCCCTTACATACTTGTCAGCTTTGCCCAACATAGTTTGCCAAATGTATTTATCTATAAAATGTTTGTGTATTTTCTATATTTATTAAAAGAAATACACTGAATACTGCAAAATATTAGACAATTAAGTATTCACAGTAAATGACCTAAAATGAGCATTTTAAATATACTACTTTTTGAACCTTGAATATCAGTCACAACGAAGCAAAAAATATATACATCCCCCCCATCCTCATATCATCAAACAGTGTTTAAAATCTGTTTACTGCTTTATGTTTTGAGACAGATAAAGGCCACAACTACCTAGCACATTATAGCAATTGACAATGAAAATA